GACCTCATCTAAACCTAATTACCTCCTAAAGGCCTCACCTCCTAATACCATCCCATTGAGGGTTACACTTTCAAAATAAGAATTTGGGGAGGGGGAGCACAAACACGCAGTCCATAACAATTGCTACTTGTCAACTGTCTCCCCTGTCTTTTTTATTGTCATTATTTGATACACTAGTCTGTCTTCCTTCCAGGCATTGAGCTGCTTGAGGGATGGGGGCTACCTTGAATCCACTGCTCCTGGCGCATTCAATCCAAGTTTATTGAAAGAAAAGAGCCAATCAGCAAGCCTGGACTTGCCTTGTTGAAAATATATTCACTAGCAGAAAGTCTTCGAGTTGTCCCAGAAAACTGCTTTTATACAAACACACTGCACACACTTAAAAATATACTTAGATTAGATGGAATTTATTATTATTTTTTGATGAGGAAGACTAGCCCTGAGCTAGCATCCGTTGCCAATCCTCCTCTTTTTGCTGAGGAAGATTGGCTCTGAGCTAACATCTGTGCCCCTCTTCCTCTATTTTATACGTGGGATGCCGCCACAGCATGGCTTGATAAGCAGTGTGTAGGTCTGTGGCCAGGATCCAAACCCGGGAACCCTGGCCACTGCACCCCCCGCAAAGCAAAGCACACAAACTTAACCACTATGCCACTGGGCAAGCCCCTGGAAATTATTTTAATGGAAAAAAAAAATAGTTGGTTTCAATGTTTGATGGTATGCAGTCATTCTCTCACAACCCAGTGATTTCTGTGACAATAATCACACAAAACATCATTGCTTAGATTTATAAATATTTAAACAAATAACCCATTTTTAAATTTGACACTGTTAACACACAAAGTAGAATAACAATACATTTCAAGAAAACAAGTTGAAAAACTAGTCATGATAGAATGAAAGGCCATCTAACTCTCCAATGTACATTCTAAGGACACGTACCTCTGTTGAAGGCTCACTGACTTAGAGGGAAAAAATATCTGGAGTTAACACAAGCAAAAAGCAGTCTAATATAGTTTTTTTCTTTAGAGAAATATGCAAATATGCCCTGAATTAAATTGCATCTAACTCCAAGGTCTATTAGGGCAGGAAACTCATTTTCCAATTCAGTGGTACATCCACCTCTGGCTGAGAAAAATGCTGCACGCAAAATGACATTTGAAAACGGTATTTTTAAATTTTTTTATTATTTTTATTTTATTACATTTCTTAGGAGCAATATTCACCTCACGCCATTTACGCTCGCATAACAGAGGCTGGAATAGCAAGGCACTATAGGGATGAATGTCAGAGAAGCCCTTGCGTGAGGCTAACCAAGACTGAGCCCAAATCAATACCGTTCAAAGTTGTTTCCACAGAAAGAAGTTTGTTCTCTGTGAATTCTAATCTCCACATTTTTGTCACTTTCCCAGTTTTTTTTTCATGGTTCATTTCCAGTTTCATAGCCTTATGGTCTGAAAAGATGCTTGTTATGATTTCAATCTTCTTAAAT